GCCGGCAGAGGTAGGGCCGGAGCGCCGTCCGCCCAGCCCTGGCGCCCCGAGGCCAAGCGCGCCGCCGGGCGAGAGAGGTCAGCTCTCCCTCTCAGCCTCGCCAGGCTCGCCCGTTCAGCTCTGCGCTGCCCGTCACCCCTCGCCTCCCACTCGTGCCACGCCGCGCGCCCAGCCCCGCCGGCCTCCAAAGCGGTTCCCCTCCCCTCCCCCTTTCAGCCGGTGCCGTTTCCCTGGTGTTCCCCGTCCCACCCTCCGCGCTCCCATCCGTCCAACCCTGTGCGCTCTAGCGCCAAGCCCTCCGCTTACACCGGCCGTCTCGAAGTAACCTCCCAAACACCAGGCACGGAACGCCTGCTGGACGCAAACTCCTGCATTCCCGCCCATCGTCTGGCGCATGTCCTCTGGTTCCCGCTCGGCCCGCCCAAGACCACCTGCGATCTCGCCTCCGCGACGACGCCGCGTTGCGCATTCTGTCCGGACGATGAATCTGCTGTCGAAGTGGTGATTGTTCCCTGAGCACAGCCCCTGCCTAGGCAGGTTTCTAAAGATAACCCCGATCGTCGCGACGCCCGAGGTTCGCTTTTTCCAGCGTCCCACACGCCATCACCCGACGCGCTTGCCAGCAATCCTCCCTCCGATCCAAACCTCTCTCCCACATGCCTGCGACGAAAGCGCGAAAACCGGCCGATATGGCTCATCTAGAGCCTCGCGCGACCACGGTGCCCGCACCGTACGTCGCGTCGCCGAGCGATCAATGGGACGAGTGGGACGGGAGCTGGTCGACTTTCCTAATCAACGTCGGGACTCCCCCTCAAGAGTTCCGCGTCATCATCTCGACCGCCGGAGGGGAAGCGTGGGTGCCTCACCCGCAGGGTTGCACGTCGTCGGACCCGGACGACTGCCCCGAGCTTCGAGGCGTGAACCCGTTCGACGGCGCCGCGAGCGCCGGCTTTCAGGACGACCAGTCGTCCACGTGGGACGCCATTGGGCTGTACAGCTTGGACCTGGAGGAGCGGTTGGGGTTCAGCGGCAATGGATCGTGGGGCCTCGACAGGGTGGCGTTGGGCAGTTCGCAGGCCGACGACCAGCTGGAACTGGACAGCCAACTCGTGGCTCTGATCGCGGACAAGGACTACTTCATGGGCCAATTCGGGGTGGGGATCCAGCCGACCAGCTTCTCCAACACGGCCGAACCCATACACGCTTTTATTTGGAACTTGAAGAACCAAACCAAAATTCCGAGCCTGTCCTTTTCCTACACTGCCGGCGCGCCGTACCGCCTTACCAAGGTGCCGGGAAACCTCGTCCTGGGCGGCTACGACTCCACGCGGTTCGAGCCGAGCGACGTGACGTTTTCGTTCGCGGAAGACGACGCGCAGGCCCTGACCGTCGGCGTCCAATCCATCACGACCAGCGACTCGCTGATGGGAGTCGCGTCCTTGACGAGCGCGAGCCAGGGATACCTATCATACATCGATTCGACGACTTCTCACGTCTGGCTGCCTCGAGAAGTCTGCGACACATTCGAAGACCTATTCGGCCTGACCTACGACGAAGACACCGACCTCTACCTAGTCAACGACACCATGCACGAGCAGCTCCTGGACATGAACCCGACCCTGACCTTCAAACTCGGCACCTCCGCCTTCACCCAAACCACCAACACCACCAACATCGTCCTCCCGTACGCCGCCTTCGACCTCCAGGTCGGCTACCCAGCCTACTCCGACAAGCGCAACTACTTCCCCATCCGCCGCGGCGCCAACGACACCCAGTACGCCCTGGGCCGCGCTTTTCTCCAAGAAGCCTACCTCATCGTCGACTACGAGCGTGGCAACTTCACCGTCGCCCAGGCCAGCTTCCCGGACTCCGGCATGCCCGACCCCGAGGTCGTCACCATCCGCTCCCCCGACGACGAGGACGACGACGCGGCCGACGGCTCGGGGAGCGGGATAAGCACGGGCGCCATCGCCGGCATCGCCGTCGCCGCCGCCGTCCTCCTCATCGCCGCCCTCGCCGCCTTCATCTGGTGGAAGCGACGCGGCCGGTACTCGCCCGTCAAGGTGGGCGAGCTCGACGCCGACGGCAAGAAGGCCGGGTCGGACGGGAGTAGCGGGGGCGCGGGCGGTGCCGCCGCCGGGGGTGCGGCTGCCGGCGGCCGGCGACGGCGCGGGCGGCGGCGGGGCGGCGACGATAACGCCGCGGCCGGCGACGACGACAACGACGACGACGACAAAGACGCCAAGCCCCCGGTCGAGTTGGACAACACGCAGCTGGCCGAGCTGCACTCGCCGTCGTTCCCGGCCGGCACCAGCGGCAAGGACGCCGCCGCCCAGCCCAAGACCCACGAGCTGCCCGACACAAACGTCGTCCAGGAGCTGCCGTCGCCGCCCGTCATCTACGAGCTGCCGGCCGAGATGGAGTACTTGCGGCCGCGGCCCGGGGAGGAGGAGGGCGACGAGAGAGTGTCGTATTACGGCGCAGGTGGAGCCGGAGGGTCCGGCGGTGGTGGTGGTGGTGGGGCTGGGGACGGCGGCGACGAGGCCGCGGGCGGGGCGGGCGTGCGCAGGAGCAGGCGGGAGACGCCATTGAGTCCGATGAGCGCGGCGGGGGCGGGGCCCGGACAGGGCGCCGGAGGGACCATGGCGAGTAGTAGGCCTAGCTCGTTGGGCACGCCCGTCACGCCGACGATGCAGCAGCGGCGCATGCAGCAGCAGTTTGAGGAGCAGCAGCAGAGGCAGCAGCAGTGGCAGTTCGAGGAGCAGCAGAGGCGGCAGCAGTATAGGTATTGAGGGGTCAAATGAGGGGGTTTTCGCTGGGTGCAGTTGTGAAGGTGGACGTTTTCTGAGCATGCTACATATGGACGGAGTTTTGGTATGGAGTACAGTGAAGCTGTGCGGTATACTCTTTTCATGTTGATACCTTACGTGGGCGCGATTTACTGGGGGTTGTGTGTTTGCTGTTTTGTTTTGGCTCATGATGACTCGCTCCTTTTTTCGCAATTTTCTATTTGTCTATCTCTGTATCTCGGGCTGCGCTCGCATGGATCATACCTATACATTGTAATTTGTTGTATCCTCCTTTGAATCGGCGTTAACGGTTGGCACTAGTGGGCCTCTGGTCAGTGGCTTCACTCGACCAACGCCCGTCCGACGGATGATAAAAAATGTTATTGTTGGAGCTCTGCTCACATATTAGTCAGCCTCTCCAGATTTACTAATAGTTCGGGAATACTTTCCAGCATGTTGTCCTTTGATCCCTGGATTTAAAGTGTGGCTGAGTTGCGGACGCCTGAACGGGTTCAAGCTTTGTTTTTAACGGTGAAATGCCACTTTTTTGGGTGCAACTCCCTGCTATTGACAACCTTACTGTGGAGTAAGCTTTGAAATGAAGATTGCTTGCTACCCAGCGCAAATATAGAAGTGCTTAGGAATGAAGCTCACATAACGGTTCTCTAACTAATCGCACGCCCACCACAACGCCCTGCAATGCACGATTCATGCCGCTGAAACACACCACCAGCCCCTTCTCTATCCGGCAATAAGACTCAAATACACGCCCCAGACAACGCCAACGGCAGACCCGAACACGACGCGCTGGTGGACCGGGACGAGGCAGAAAGAAATGATGGACACCAGCGGCCAAAGCTTCAATCCAGCCACGAATATCGGCACAAAGTCCTGCGGGACACGTCCGCTCGGTCAGCAGTCTCACAGAGCAAATCCCAGAAACCTCCGATAAGATTCTCTCATCGCATGGGTCCGGCCAGACCCTCGTCCCGCCCGCTCACTCACCTCCTTAACGCTCCGCGTTATGCCCTCCCAGCCCTTGCCCGCCAGCGCCGCCATCACCACGATGAACATCACCGTGTTCACCACCGCGCCCACCGTCTGATCCAGCGCGAACTTTGCCGCCGTGTTGCGCACGTTCAGCCTAGCCGGCGCCGGCGCCGGGCCAGCCTTGTCCTTTTCCTGCTCCGCCGCGCCGCCGCCTCCCCTTGCGTCCGGATTCTCCGCCGGCGCGGTCGGCGGCGCGCCGCCGGAAGCGCTGCCGGGGAACTGCGCCTCCAGCCATTCCTGCCAGAGCACGTTGGGCGGCGTGTTGACGACGGCGTAGGCGACGAAGCGGAGTATGGGTTCGAGGGTGAGTGTAAGCGGTTTCTATATCATCGGGTTCGCAGGCGTGTTTTATCAGCACTGGTGCTAGTAGATTCGGGTTGGTTGGAGGCGCGTCCAGGGAACATACGGAGTCGCGCTGGGCCGAGAGGAGCTGGGCGAGGCAGTTGGATGTGGCGCTGAGGACGGCGGCTTGGGCCGTCTGGGAGATGAGCGGGGAGGCCATGGGCTTGTGTGCAGGGAAGTAGGAACGCAGAGGAATGAGTAAATAGAAGCGCGGCTGCTATACGGAACGAGATTCTAGGGTAGCCGGGCGCAGTAGCAGGGTTTGATTACTCAAATGACAATAATTTAGGTACTGAGGTATAGCAGGTTACGATGTAGGGAAAAAAGAAACTTGTAGGTATACAGCCGTCGTTCTGAGAAAGTGCAACTAGTATATGTGAATCTCGAAGTTGAGCTTTCCTATCTCTCAAGAGTACACGTTTCACTGCATGGATGACAGCTCGTCAGGATGCCGCTCCTTCGTCTTAGGGTGGGTTTTCCAAAGATGTAGTTCCTAAGTTGTTCAACAGCTCAAAAGAAATAGTGCCACACGAATAAGCATGCAATTATTCAGAATGAAACTTGGATTCAAATCTCTTGACTTCTGTCGGTGCCATGTGATGTCAAGCTGGTCGGCATGATCCTCGCGGACTGACCAGTGGTGCTACATGACAGTACTGCCGAGAAGCCCCGCAATTCTATGTAGTAAACGATTCGAGGAGCCCCCCCAACCGCACAGTTTTGGAGTTGCTAAGATTCTATCAAATTAAGCTCAGATAAGTCTGGATTGGTTCGAGTAATAAATTTTTAGCTCACGTTCGAAAAAAGGGCAAAAGTAAGGGGCCTGACCGGGATTCGAACCCGGGGCCTGTCACAATTCAAGATGCTTAGAAACATCCAGGCTTGGGAACCCGAAGCGACAATCATACCACTAGACCATCAGGCCAAATATACCACAATTTTGTGCCAAAATATAATATCACTAGCCTCCAAATTTGGACGACACATTCTCCTACTTGCCATATTTAGCTTCTGCCTTTTGCAGTCCTTGGCCCGATGTCCGGTTCAAACTTGCTCCTAAGATTAAAGTGAGGTTAAACTTCTGATATGCACTTATAGTTAACTATACCCTTACATCAAAGACGCTCCAGATTTCTGCTGTTGTTTTTGTACGCCCCTAATATACGGGCACTTTGCTTCTCGAACGTAGGTATATTGCAATCGTGTTTAGCTGAGGACGTAATGGTAGTCCGCTACACTACCGCTATCTCACTCCTTGAATCAAATATTTCGGTGTACCATAACTCCTTGGACGTTTATTGAAAAATCTTCGTTATGATATAAGTGCCCCAGAACTAAGGGAAAGAATTCAGGCCCATGTCACGCTTAATCAGTCAAGCTATTTATTATATTGAACAAGGCGATCAATTTGCCGGAATTATATTTTCATAGTCCCTATTTGAACTCAAACATCGGGTATGCAAGGTCATCTTTGAATTATTAATAAATCAAGAAATATGTTACTTCACGTATGATAAGCTATTCGAGCAAACTAATGCTGTCATAAGTAGTCTGATCGACCTAGGTGCTCTATAATTCGCACCTCTGAGATTGGCAAACTATTCTCTTGAGGCATCGAAACCTTGCAGTATACTAGCTTAAGTGTACGATTGATTCAATCCTTGCTTGACTGATTGGACAGACTTAGTGAAACTATGACTAAAGCAGGAGCAAACGGAATCCTAAGAAATCAGAAATGATATCGCATTCTTCAAAGTCGCTGCTCCCTGAGCCATTCGCAATTCCAGTTCACATAATACACCTAAAGAAATTTTGCACGACTATTCCATAGAGTATAGCCCTACCATTTCTATCAGTCAATCACTATTAAGTAACCAATCTATGCGCTTAGCTCCAATGTACGTTCGTGTTTTATCATTTGCTGTGTACTGGAGAGCTTTTGATTCCGACGCAAGGTTAAACTTACGAGAGAAGCCATTAAAGCCCCACCCAGAAGTGTTATTTTATAAAGGAAACCGAAATCGAAATGAGTCTTCCTCACTTACAGTGTGTGAACTATTTTCCCAAGCTTCTAGGAGTTCCAACCATGCATTTGAAAGAATCAGCATCGCTGTTGGATAAGCAATTATCTTTGCATACGCCTGCACTGAAATGTATCTTTTGCTAAATATGTGCGGGAAATCGTAGCTATAGTTATTGTCTTCGAGTCAGCTAAATATGTAGCAAGCTTGCACTTGTGGCTATTCCGGAGCGGAGCAGATTGCTTCATCGTATGCCATTCCATTTTTGGGCTTTATATGTAATCTGTTGATGATTGTAGCCGCATAAGTATCGATATCACATTTATGGGATGGTTTTATTTCTGTATCTTTTACTGCTCAAACGCGCTGGAGACCACAACGTCGGCGTGGTCACTTGTTAGTCGCGTCGAACTCTTACAGCCCAACGTATGGTCAAGATACACACAAGCCTCCGCCAGGCTTAGACATCCTGTAGATGCTACTACGATTATTTCTATACTGGATGCCTCTTTCCCATGCCGAAGGGCACGTTGACTTCCGGAATAGCTTAGCACTTGCACGAGGCGACGAGGCTTATCTAGAATTTCAAGCCAGTAATTTCCATTTCGGCGACTTTGGCAACGCCGTGCGCCATTTAGTCCTACGAAGTGGCAGCTACCCAAAAAAAAGCCAAGGCAGCACAACATCGACAACCCGCTCATCGAAAACCCTTAGGATGAGACCTCCCGCAACCACTCGCTCACTAGAGGCCTTCCTTCGCATGCCCCATTGCCATCCGTCCCAGCTAAGATAAAGAACAAAGGAAAATTACAAGTAGACTTCGGGCTGCCGGGGGGAATCGAATGTGATCAGTCCACCAGGATGAAAGTGGCACGCTCTGGGGACCGTCTAAAAGGAATAAAGGGGGAGAGTGAGGAGAACAAGAAGCCACGAAGCCACCTCTGGAGAATGGGGCTTCGAAAAGCGAGCCGGAGAACAGAGATCGCGCGAGAAGACGCCTTGTCAACACCATTGGGAATCAAAACAAAGAAGCCAGCCATTGAACCGCACAAGAAGTGGGTATTCAACTCCGTCCCGGGGTTGAGAAAGAAGGAAAGGAAAAAAGAACTAAACGCTTAGTGCCCGATGCATTGCCGCACGGCAGAAAATGCAACGTCTCGTCAGAAAGCACAAGCGGACAAGTGCGCGTGCAACGCAACACACCCTTCGAGATGCCCCGCAAACCGCACCCAGGCCGTAAACATATGAATCCGAGCAGAACCAGAGGCCGTTGGCGGCAAGAAACAACAAACAGCAAACATTACAAGATCGTCCGGTCACGCGCTATTACTAGCTTCTTCGCAGAATAAAAATGCATAATGGAAAACGCTCCTTCGCAGAGATGCGTGTCCGAAGCCGGAATTAGTCGAAAGAGTGACTCGTGCGGAAAGGAAAGTCGTCATTAACTCGCATTGATAGCTCGGCGCACGATGCTACAAGCGCTTGCCGGGCACGAAGATGAATAGGCAGCTAAGCGCGGCGACGACAAGGACCGTCCAGAGCAGTACCATGAGGGCACGCTTGATTAGAAGACGGCGGATGAAAGGCTCCCGGATACGGGAGAAGGTCATGAAAGTGTACTCGGAGTAGCCGGGGATCGCCGTAATCGGTTCGACTGTGTATTGCTGGACTAGTAGCGCGTACACGCCGATCGCAAACGGAATGATAACCTCGTATATAGTTAGTTCTCGTCGCCTTCACAAAAGTACGGGTGGAAAGAGATGGGGGGCATTACAAAACAGCGAGTGCTACGCGGGTAGTCTAGGAAGATTAGGACAAAAGCAGTCCAAAAGGCACCAAACATGCAGATTAGCCCAGCCACAAGCCGCGCCATGCCGCTCGGCGGAACAATGTTGCCTAAAGCCTTTGCCTTCAAGAATCCCGGGAATGCGTCGCGCTCCATGGCTTGGAAGACGTAATCCTTTGCCGCATCGAAGACCTCTGGATCATCACGACCATTCTGCTCTATGTGCGTGGTGATTTCGTTGAGGATGCCCTGTGGTAGGATGATCTCGCGCTCCGAGCCCGGCAGCAGATAAGTGTAGAGAATCTTGACGGCGGAGGCCTTTAAGTCTGAGCGAGCGACTGTGTGCCCCGGCGAAGTAGATGCATTTGCGCCCGAAGGAGTCGAGTCGTTGTGCGGCGAGTTCGTCACGCTCGTTCCCATAAAGCTCGGGCGTGGACGGTCCATGGACTGGCCGCTACCCTGACTATTCTGATGAGAATGTCTACTACCGCTGTCGGTGCGCAGGAACGCGGAAACGCGCTGTTCTGGCGTCTGCTTCTCGGTCGATGGACCGGCTTGTTCCATGTTGTCCAAGACAGCCGATGAGCGCTTGCTACCGGCTTTCTCCAGCTCCGGCGTCTCGATCAGGTTGGAGCGGCGAAGTTCGCGAACGTAGTGGCGGCATAATGACATATGCTGGGTCACGTCGAGCCTACAAGCGGTAAGGGTTCACGTCGGTTGAATCATGAGCTGTTGGAACATACCAGAAATCGAGATAATCGACGGATCTCTGCTGGTCGCGCATGTAAATGTAGAAGGAGAAAAGATCGACCGGCGGGAGGGTCCGCCTGAATAGCACCTCGCCGAGGGTGGGCAAGCGATGCCGGTTATCGAGCGGCTCCGGGGACGGCGTCGTCGCCATGGCGAAGCGGCGCGCCGACGATGGGCGCCGACGGTCGGCACGCTCTACGATGTGCTGTGTTGCGATAACGAAGGCCGGTAGAACGTATGTGGGGTGCAGGAGAAAAGGCGCGACGCGACGGGCCTAAGTAGTGGGCCGGGCGGGCCGCGGCGCCAGGCAGAAGCGGGCTGCCAGGAAAGGTGGTCGCGATGGCGCGCAGCTGCTGGGTCGCTCTTGCCAAAATTTCGCGGCGGCGGATCGCGGCGAATCTTGGTGCCCCCGAGCCACTCGCGGATCTCGGTCGGGCGACGGCGATCTGCGGGCGTGCGATCGAGGAGCCGGCGGCGACGCTGCCCGTATCGCGACGGCGGAAGGAGGGTTCGATCAATTGGCGCAGCGAGCGGCGCGCGGCGGGCGTGAAACGTGGGTCGGCGGCACTCGTCGGCGGCGACGTGGACGGAAGGAAGGGCGCAGAGGTGACGGTCGGAGCCGGCGGCGGGCAGGAGTAGGAAAGCGAGCGAGGGAGCGACGACGCGGCTAGCCTGCAAGTCGGTCGACGGTGGAAAGCGCAATGGAAGCGGTCGTGATGCCGTGGCTTGGAGGTGAGATGGCCCCCTCGCGGTGATGGGCCTCGCGCTCTGAGGGTGCCCCGGAATTGGGCGTCCCAGTTTTGACGTCGCCGTAGGTGTTGGAACCTGCGACAGAACCAAGGGGGCGATGAGACGCAAGGCCTGCTGCGTGACGCCAGCCTCGCGCGTTTGGCCAGGCAGCGCGCTAGGGTCAGCATTAATCTAACCAGCCTCGCGTGCCGGCCCAATCACAGCCTCCCAATCCGTCCTTTTCGAATTACCCGGCCAATTAGGGCGCCCAATCTCTACTTTTCCCCTACTATTAATTTGCCACGTACTTTGGCTCCCGAGCAACGGCCGGCACGCAGCGACCGCGCGCTTTCGCCTTTTCTTCTCGACTTCACCTGCATTTTCCCACAAGACTCCTGAAAGCTGCCGATTGTCTGCCTAGCGCGTCTGAAGCGATAGGCCTCCGCTGCTAATGACGAATTTCACTTTTCGCGCGCGCCCTTCCTCCCATGTTTCACGGCATTCGTTGCGAGCCAGGGCCGCAATCCCGACAGCACTGGCCGCACAACACGCACACTACAGACCCGTGTTTACTCGGGACGGAACCGTGCTCTTCCGATCGCTGGCCGGCACGTGCCCCCTATACAGCGCAGTCCTCGA